TGAATCCCACACGCTGCGGGTTGCGGGCCCCGCTGTGTCTTTAGAAGATTTTCCCCTGCCCCCGTAAACACACACACACACACACACACACACACGCACACGCACACACACACACACAAACACACACACACTCACATACACACACACGCGCGCGCGCGTGCGTTGACAGACCCAAAGACTTAACACATGTTTCTCTATGTATTTCAACACGCTGAATTCGAATCTGAAGCCAGAATTGCACTACAATCCTCCAGTTTTTTGTTGTTTTTGCGCGAAAAACAGCCGTGAAATTGCAGATTGTAAATTTGACGGTGTTTATTTTTTCGATTTTAAAAAGCACTGGACGTTTTTGCGCAATTCTGGCTTCTGATTTCGATTCAGCGCGTCGACATACTGCATACAGAAACTCCTGTCAAATGGGTCTGACAACAAATACAAATTCACGGTGATATTTTTCTATTAAAGAAATTGGAAGGTGGTGGCGCAATTGTGGCTCCTCTGTGTCTAGTCAAGTCTTTGGGTCTGACAACTACCCCCGAAAACATAAAATACAATGTTTAGGTTTTCCCCCCTTTTTTTCTATAAAAAAGGGGAGGATTATGGCGCAATTCTGGCTGAGGATTAGCACGTCGATTTTCATAGACAAACATACCATTTTCTTTTGTCTTCCTCGGGAAATGATGTTCGGGTTACAGAGAATCATGAATATTTTAAAGACAAGTGAAGTGCCCCTCTGCACTTGATACTTCCCAACTGTAAAACATTTTATATTTCATAAAGCCGAAACATACTAATTCATGAAGAAGCTAATGATACGACTTACCATCTAAATACAACCTTACTATTCTATAATTAGTGGCGTTTGTTTAACAATGCATTTTTCTCATTTCTGTATAAGGCTTTTATACTCCACTCTGGTAGAGGGTTTTTAAAATTGCTGGAACGCGTCCCGAAATGGAAGTGATGAGAACGTCCGTGTTCTTTGATTTTGAATTTTTTTCTTATAAAAAATGAATTCAAAAATCTGTATCAAGTGTTCGTCTGCATATATGAGAATATTGATTTTCTTCCATGTTTCTTCCATTCCCATCTAGTCTACACTCGGAAGTTAGAAGGGATTCGGAAGCCACTGTTATCCCCGTGGACCGTCAACTTTAATGTTTTTTTAAGTGGGCTATTTTTTTAAGTTAAGTTTTTAATTTTTTTTTTAATTTTTTTCTGAAGTTTATAAATCGTAAATTTTTCTCATTTATGAGTTAAGCTAATGAAAATCTTCTTGAATTTAGAGTTTGAATTAATTCGACCTGTTTAAAAAATGTTTTACGTGAAAGACCTCAATTAATTGAATTCCAACGCGACGAACACGCTCTCTAGGTTTAGCAATGTGCATGCTCTTTGGCGTCCTGCGCCTGCGACTGCCGTTGCGGTGTGAGGTATCGTAGGGTGTAGATCGTGCGCCAGGCTATAATTTCTTACAAGAACCGAGAAGTGGAGTAGATCCCGAGAGTAGTATCAAATTTCGAAGAACTAAAAAGGCAATTGTTGGTAATCCTATTTAAATATCCGCTGTGAAAAAAAGCAGAATGAGCGACGAGAGGGAAACAGAAGGCGTGGATGGTAGCACCCGTCTGTTGGCTGGAGAAATGGGCGTAAGGCCGACGAATAGTGATCCAGAAGGGGATGGTGCCGAAGAAAAATTGGTCACCGAAGATGGGAAATTAAATTCAAATCGTGAAACTAGTGAAGTTAAGTTCATATCAGCTGATTCTCAGAACGGAGACGCTAAAATCGATATTGAAAATGTCAAACATACGTTCGCTGGTATGGGAAAAGATGAGCTAATGAAATTCGCTAACGATCCCTTTTGGATTCGTATGAGATGGTTTCTGTTTATTTTCTTCTGGGTACTGTGGATCGCAATGCTTGTTGGAGCTGTTGCAATTATAATTTTGGCTCCCAAGTGTGCAGGTCCTGCACCATTGAAGTGGTGGGAAGAATCACCTTTGTATGAAGTAAATGTACGTACTTTCGTGGACGGAGAAAAAGAGGATGGAATCGGCGATCTTGTTGGTAAGTATTATGCTAATTCATTTTAATGAGTTATGTGATGCTTTGCGTTATTTGAGGAAGGCTGTGGATGATGTAATATTTAGGGTGCAGATTATCATATCAAAGATCTGATAAAATTGATTGTATTCTTTTGTTTTGTGTAGGTTTGAAGTCCAAATTAGATTACATAAAAGGTCTGGGAGTAAAAGGTATTGTATTATCCTCAGTTCTTCAGTCCAGTCATAAATTAGAAGATGGATACGTTGAAAACTTTGTGGAAGTTGATCCTCTTGTGGGTACTGTTCATGATTTTACCAACCTAACAACTGCTATGAAGGAAGAAGGTAAAGTGAATTTGGCAGTTATCGAGCTATTAATGGGATGCATTGTATTGAGTACTTTTTTTTTATAAGTATTTCTCTGGTAATCCAAAATCCTAACCAGTATTTATTTTTAATGTAGAATGTTAATATGTGTATGTATATATATATATGTATATATATACACATACATACATACATACTTATGTATCTTTTCTTTCAGGCATGCACCTCATTTTAGATTTTATTCCAAATCACACCAGTAAGAAGCATCCATGGTTTGTTGCTTCTGAAAAGAAAGAATCTCCTTTCACAGATTACTATGTATGGACGCAGAAGGAGCCAAATAATTGGGTAATTGTTACTTCGTACAATTTTAACAATTATTTCTGATGCCTAATTTGTGATGGTTAAAGAGAATATAAAATTTTTCCCTCAACAAATTGAAGTACTAAAGAGGAGTATCTTTGAGTATATGAAGAAATGATTTTTGGCGCTAGGTGATTTTCATTTTCTAGATATTCTTGCAATGTAACGAATTGTTTGCATAGAGAGTATGTTTTGATTTAAAAGATCCATTACTTCATCCATTCATTAATCTATAGAATTTGGTAATGTGAACACATATTAAGCTACCATATTTGTGAATGAGAAAAATGTTTTATTGTATATTAGTAAAATTTAAATTTTCATCTTTTTAGCCTGTGTTATCTTTAACAATTTTTGTCTTACCTTTGTATTTTTACTATTCCTCGAGATTAGTTTGTCATTTATTTTGATTCAGTGTTATAACAGCTGTAATACATCCTTTCATACTTATGACAGCTGTATTGTAATTCAGGAATTATTAACAAGGGAGGTGTTAAATGAGTAAAATTATTTGAAATGCAAGCGAAATGTTGACCTGAAATGTTCTGTTGGTCAGGTTCAGCATGATTGGATGTGAGGTTATGATTTTCTGGATGTATAACAATGTGATTATAATAACAATCTATTAAGTAATTGTATGGAAATTTTTTTCTTATTTAGATTAGTTTGTATGGAGAATCAGCATGGGCTTATAGTGAAATCCGTAAAGAATATTATTTACATCAGTTCAAACCTGATCAGCCTGACTTGAATTTCAGAAATCCTGAAGTTATTAATGAATTCAAGGTAAAAAAAATCAATTAATAATAAAGAATAATATATCAATTTATTTTAGTTTACCTATTCTTGCAATACTGTGTTAGAAGATTTTTTTTGTATCTTTTACCACACATCAGCTTTGTCATCTACAGATGAAATGTTTGCTTTGGTTTTGATTTATTGACTTTTACACATAAAATAATTTCTCTCTTCGTTCTGTTTGTGGATCCTCTTTCCACACAATAAAATATATAAATGTGTATTGATTTGCAACTTAGGGCTTCATTTACTTGTACTGAAATAATTATGATTTTAAATGATTGTGAGAATTTTCTTCAGATATACTTAACTCTGATAACATTTTGGCTGAAGTGTAGTATGCGGTACAACCTAAGGAAGTTGTTTAAACTGGCACTTTGCGCCGTTCGGGCGGTAATTAGGCAGTTAGAAATCAGGAGGTTTCCTGAAAAGTGCTTTCTTATAAAAGTGAATTGGTAATTATGCGTTGGATAGACTCGAGGATGTTTATGTTGAACGCCAGAGCCTTGCCGTGACTTGATCCGGGCGAGAGAAGCGAGAAAACTTGCTTTTGAAAGGAAATTGGCGTTACAATGCGGTGGGAACAAAGCATATAAAGGGCGAACCAAGAAAACCTCCTATTCGAAAGTTTTCCTCATTTCTATTAGCGCACGTACAGTAATTAGGGCTGAAGCCCCGCCGCCACGCTTCTCTAAGGGTGTACTGTAGACTAAACTTTAACAAACATTTTATATTGCTTTTGAAGTTTTATGCAATATACTTTTCCATGGGAATTATTTAAGCTTTCAAGTATAAAGTAATGCATTTGTAAAAATTGTTAGGAACAGGTTATCAATTATTCTAAATATTTAGCAGCATAGTGATATATACATCAAATCATAAACAAGATAATTTTAACTGAAAATATTTTCCTTTAGGGAACTATGCCTCTTTGATGAAAAAATTGTTTGTTGTTCTTAATTAAACTAAAGATAAAATGAAAACTATTAATTAATCACTCAAATAAGATATTCTGTTGTATGTGAATGCATGTAATGAATGAATTCTGTTTTGTGCAGAAAATTATGAAATTGTGGCTGGAACGTGGTGTGAGTGGATTCCAAATGAGTAATGTGGAATTCCTTGTGGAGGATAAGGATTTAGGAGAAGATTTTGTGAATCCACATACTCTTGTAACACTTGGACAATATGATTTTCTGAAACATTCCAAAACAGCAAATTTGCCAGAAACGTACGATGTTTTGAGAGAACTGAGAGAATCTATGCTAAATGTGTCATCAGATAGGTCAGTTTTTGATAAAGAGTTCTTTAATAAATAAAGGAAAGTAGCTAAAATTTGAATGGCAGGGTTCTACTATGCGTATGCAAAGAATTTTTTTTCTTTGGATGTAATGCATGAATAGTTTGAAAAATCTTGTAAAATAGGCAAATGTCATTTTAAACTTATAGTTGGTATTATAATTTCAGTTTTTGTAAGTTTTACTTTGTGGATTAAGATTTATTTTTAGAAAAGAGAAATTAGAATGTAGAGAAATTTAGAATGTATGGAAATTGCTTGGTGGGGTAGGCGATCATGTTATGAATCTTAATTTTTGTTTAGTGATTATTATTATTATTATTATTATTATTATTATTATTATTATTGTTATATTGTTGGTTAATTGTTGCTCTAGTTAACTGAGTATCTTTTAATTTATCTGACAACAGTGTTTTGGCTGTAAGCTCGAATGTTACACGGTATGGTGGACTGGTAAGAGACAATAATATGACACATGCTTTTGATATTATGCGAAATGCTGATTTGTTTTCATCTCTGAAGCATGAATTTACTGCTGTAAATTTAAACCATACAATCTATGGTTGGATGAGAGCTACAGAAGGCTATCGTACATTTTGGGAGGTATGAAGTATTTCAAGAGTTCATGATGTGCAATTTGCTATGTTGCGTTTAATTTTGCACTTGGGTACAAAGCCTGAAATTTTATTTTCTTTAGCTTGGTAATGCCTACCGTTCAAGAGTTGCTTCAAGGTTTTCACCAGAGGTTGTGGATGGTTTAAATGCAGTTGTAATGCTTTTACCTGGCACCCCCATCACATTGTATGGTGATGAGCTTGGTATGAGCGATTCTGATGGGGAGCCTCGTGCTCTTGCTCCGATGGCATGGAGAAATAGTACAGCAGCAGGTACTTGTAATTTTAAAACCTCTTTTCTGGAATTCACAAATAAATGTAGAAGTAACGTGTATGTGCTAATTATAGTTGACTCTCAGATATAATTCCATGTACCTGATGTTATCCAGTTTAATTACTCATTTTACTGTAGGGTTCTCTGCTAATGAGAGTATTTCAGCTTTGAGCTTGAACTTCCAAGAGAAGAACGTTGAGACTGAAGAGAGTAGTGAAGATAGCCACCTTGGAATCTATCGAACACTTTCTAAAAAAGCCCGAACATCTCGTTCCATTATGTATGGAAAGTTTGAATCTACAGTTTATAATGACACTGTTTATGCCTACACAAGGTAAATATATTTAATGTTTCTAAATTTAACTTAATTCAAAACAGTGCACTAACAATCCTTGTTGTTTTTAATGCTGCCTTGATTGTAGGATCTGGTAAGAATTTACTAAATTTATGGAAGTGTTCTTTATTGTTGAAGTTTGTATGCTTTTGTAATTTAAGTTTTTCAAATACTTCACCAGGCTGAAAAGTGGCAATCCGGGATACTTAGTTGTGTTTAACCCTAGTGATTATGAAACCACTGCAAATTTGAAGGAAAGTTTGAAAAGTATGTCGGATGATTTAACTCTTGTAGTGAAGAGTCCACATGTAGAAGATAGGTAAGTTTATTTGAAATATTTCATATTGCAGTTTCTCTCAAAAATATAAATCATCATTAGTAACGCTCTTGCTTTATTGTTGTAGGAAGTATCAAGCTTCTAGTTTATACCTACCAGCCAAAAGTATGGGAGTTTTTACATTTGTTCCACAACAAGAATAGAGGTGCTTGTGGAAATGTTCCAGTATTTATCTTTTACATTTTATTTTGCTTTTTACAATTTTCATTTTTTAAAATTTAGATCAGTATACACTGGCACTGAATTTGGTACAGTTTTATTGGTTGGTCTAATTTTATGCATTTTTATACATTGATTAATTTGTAATAATGACTACAAATTCTTGCGTGCATTCCTAATTTTTGTGCTCTTCATGGGCATGAAATCCTATCCTATTTTACTGTGAACTTGAGTGAAGTGACAATGTTTTAAAATTGTATTTAATGGAAAGTAGAATCTCGCAAAATAATTCACGCATGAGTCTCGTACAGTGCATTATAGAGCAAACTGGCAAAGAAATAAAGCTTCTGCATATGAATTGTTCATTTTTTACCCAAATAAGATCCCGTTATAAACTTAGTGTGGATGTTTTGTGGTAAGTATATGGGGAATTCAGTAACTTTTTTGATTTTAATTACATGGAAATGTTTTCATTTGAAGATCGTATCTGCCAGTTGGTCCAAGAGAAAATAATATCTGCAACTTATATAGGAAGCCACGAGAATTTATTTATATACTAATTGGTATATCACCTACTTATTGGAAAATGATTTTAATTCATAATGGGCTATAGTTATGCTTCATGTGGCTTTAGAGGCTTTTCTCCAAGAATTGTTTTTTTGCTTAAATGTAAATGTAATGATTTGATGACTCCATACCTCTGGTGATAAATTGCGCTATTTATCGCTGATACGGAACTATTTGTATTTTTGGATCTCGTGCTCGGGACAGGTTTCTTGCTACGAAATATGGGTTTTTCGCGGAGTAGCGTACAGTTCTCGCATCTCGATCTGCGCATGCGTAGATGCACAAAAAATACGGAATTGGTGCGTAATCGAACGTTGAAGTACTATAAATCGTCAGCGTAGTTTGTTTCGCACCACTTTGGTGCGTCTGCATATGCGTCGAAGATCGATACTGCTGTCTATTATGGCGTGCACAAACTTCCTGTTAGCAAGTTTGTGAGCGCCGTAGCGAAACAGCACTAACGGATCCTGTGCTCGCACTGATGCACTAGTGATGCGAAACTTGAACTGCGCATATGTGCAGCATCGATAGTGCTTTAACGTTCGAGGGTGCACCAACTCCCTAAGGACGCAAAACTGCTCGAGCGCAGAAAATCGATAGTCCTAACGCCTCGTCCTGCAAAAATCTCTATACTTGGATTTAAACATTGGTTCAGTTAACGTAAATCAGCAATTACGGTGTCATATAATCGGGAAGTTGGACGTTACCGTAGTCTAAGCTCTCGATCTAAGGCCTGTTTTCCGAGAGAAACTCCAAATACCTTTAGTTGCATGAATCAATAAAACTACTTTTCGTGAACGTGGAACTATTACAGAAGGAAAAGAAAACTACTGGTGGCTAACGACACGTACTTTCTGGCATTCTTTTTGAACTGTACGTAGTATTATAACTGTACACAGTGTAGTTCGTATTATTTGAACCTGTAAAATAGTTCAGTCAGCCAAAAATTGTCCGCGTTGGGAAAAGACGACTTTCGTAGGGCTGGCATGACATTCTTGTTACTCCTATACTAAAATAATTAAAGATGTTGTCATTGCCAACAATGTTTTTTTTTGAATTAAAAAACATTGTTGGCAATGACAACATCTTTAATTATTTTAAAAATGCCAAAGATATCCTACCACAACACCTATACTCCTATACTAGCTTCAAAATAAACTAAGCTGTCCGGATAGCCGAAATCGCTAAGACATTAGTGATGTAGCGATGTCGGACCGAAGGATTTATTCAGACTCAACACTGTTTTAGAAAATCGATATCTACGGAAACTATTTCTTTTTCTTAAAAATGTTGCATCAATGGACCAAAATGCACCTATTGGAATATTTTTAGGCCTTTCGAAAGCTTTTGACGTTATTAACATTAACATCTTGCTATCAAAATTACCTTATGGAATTCCTGGTATCGCTTTAGATTGGATAACCTCGTACCTTAAACAATATCAAAATGTACAAATACCTTACTGGCAAAAAGGACATTATTTTTTTATCTTTCCAATTCTTTACTAATTGAGTATGGGGTCCCGCAAGGGTCGATCCTAGGTCCTATTCTCTTTCTCTTATACGTAAACGATATCCCCACGTTTATTAAAAACTGAAGAACAGTTCTGTTTGCCGATGACGCAAGTGTTCTTTGCAAAAAAAGAAACTATTTCAAAAGTTTCAAATTTGTTTTGTAATTAATAGTTATTGCGGGAAAAAGTTTCAATGCATTTTTGCATTGCAAATTAGCAATCGTATGCTTCATTGAAAATGAACAATACCCAATTAGCTGATATTAAGGTAACTAAATTTTTGTAGGTCTCTCAATTCAAACATCAAATGGAATGTGCATAAAACAAATTAAACACTAGAATTGCCTGCGAGGTAATTCCTGGAATTAGCGATCACAAAGTCCTAAAAATGCGCAGAGAGGGTAAACGAAATGATCTTGTAAAAGAAAGATAAATTTTTCAGTTTTCTCGAACAAACATGCAATTATACTTGAAAAGCAATTTTCCGGCTTGGGCTTCTAGCGGATGTACAGTAGAAC